AACCATTGTCATATAAACCGAGCCGAGCCGAGCCAACACCCATAGGGGCGAGAGCAGTAAGAATATTTAATAATTTTTCTCCAAACTTGACACCAAATTTCAACAAAGAAAATATTATGATGCTGCTTTATCGTATATTCGCGGCCAAGGGCTTGACATGAGTGTTAGTATGAACACCATTAGAAAGTGGTATTTTTAACCTTGAAGATTGCCCCAGACCAGGCAGAACTTGGAATTATTTCGCGATGAGATAACCAGGGACCCTAGGATAACATGGCATGAGTTGGCCACCATTGGGCATTGTGGCTCTAATAATCTGAATGACACCTGTTTAAAGTGAAAGTGAAAATGAAATCAACTGGGCCAAGTTGCTGGGATAGTAAGATACTGTGCATATTCTTCGTGTCGCAAAAGGGGTGTGTCCTCAATCACTATCTTCCACCAAAAAAGCGATCAAGGATGAGGACTATATAGACCTTGTCAACAAGTGGTTGGAACAGACTTTTTAAGAATATAAATACAGTTCCCAAGACATCCTAACTCTTCCTGTATTTCCAACTTTTTATTTTCCATTCACAACATATCGGATTAGAAGAAGAATAAGAAGTGTTTTTATTGATACTAATACCATATCCCGCATACAAAAAGCTGATTGAGAGTGCTGGCTGCTGGAAAAAGACCTTGTGGTAAAAAAAATAAGTAGAAGCAGTGGATTAAGCAATTGGAAAGGGGGTGGAAAGAGTGTGAGGTTCAGCAAAACCGCCTTGAACTGAGAGAGGCGTGGAAGCCTATGTTTGATGAGTAGTTGTTTACTCAAGTGCGCAGGGTGTAAGCTGCTTTATAAGCGAGCGTCTGCCAAGGCACTGGGTGTAGATCTTGTCAATGACCAGTGTGATCCTGATCGCACTAGCTACATTGTTCTTCTTTAGAACCATGAGCGCAGCATCAATGACATTTGCCTGTAGTAGGCATTGGTGTTGTTGCTCGCATAGGTTGCAGGATGCAGCTGTAATGATCAGGCCAAGCTTAGTGGCAGTGTCAATGCAGTCTGCGGCATGGTTGCAAGATAGGATCTTGCCACAGCACCCAGAAGCCAGTGGATAATTGGCATTCTGTGCTGTCCATAAATCGAGCAAATGAAACCCAGAGATTTGATCTGGGCTACTTGAGTCGCGGCTTTGTTAGCACTTACTAATCGGATTAGAAAGTAGTGCCTTTTGCATTTTGATATCATCTAGTTATCTGCTCTGATTAGACAACCAGTCCCGTGATTAAGGCGTGACATATATCCCAAAGGCCTGTCACATGCTGTGATATCAACATGTCTTGTTGATCATAGTATCACTCTATAGTATTTATACCCTGTCCACCCCAGCATCTAGGCAGGGGATCAGGGAGGAATCTCTCTTGTGTTTTTATATTGTATTTATTTTAACTACTCTTCTAACACTGGGTAAGAAAACTCTTGCAGTCTTTCTTTGTGAAGCTTGTCAGTGTAAATGTCGACGTGCTGCCATATGTCTGCCAATAATGTTCCTCGGCCTCCTTACAAATATCGTCAAGTGTAATGTAGCAGTGGGTCTGCTCCTTTCTCACCCATTTTTTCAGGTGTTTGGCATCGTCCTCCATGAGCAAGTCAAAAGTTTTAACAAACAAGGCAGACATATGTTGTAGTAAAAAAGTTTGATTTGCTCACAAAGGACAATGCAAAATACCTCAAGAACTGGGCGCAAAAGGAGCAGACCCATTGCTACATTACACTTGATGATATTTGTAAGGAAGCCAAAGAATATTATCAGCAGATGTATGGCAGCACGCCAAAGTAAACTCTTACAAGCTTTACGGAGAAAGACTGTGTGGTGATGAAAATCACGTGACGCATGCGAGACCAAAAGACATTAGATGCAAGAATCTGGCGAAGACGAAAGACATGACGAATGCATATATTACCACTATATGCATTCGTCAGACACAAGAACAGCGATGGTAAAAACAACAAGTCGCAATAAGAGTATATTTATTATTATATTTATAGTGCGGAATAGCCGCCTAGTTTTAATAGTTTCAGCATCAAACTATACTATATATATCATTGAGCTCAAGATAGTAAACTGAGAATATTTCTTATGAAATATAAAAAATAAAAATAAAATTATTGACCCAGTTGAGGTTCGAACTCAAGACTTCTAGCATCGGAAACTAGCGCTCTTCCGCTGAGCTACGAGGCCAATGTGTTTTGGACTAGAGAGCCACGTTGTATTTGACATGTAAACCATATATGATCAATGACAAACAGACAATTATTGTTGGCTAATGTTTCACCAATGATGCTCCAAGCTCCGATCTCTAACGTCTCTCCTCAAACTTCACAGGGTACACCGCGAGGAAACTGATCTTATCTACACCGG